ATAGTTTAGAGTTAAAAATGTAAATTTCAAAATATTTTGGTTTATTTTTGTCAGCTTTCCCAATTTGGACGAGCATCTGATTTGTGATTTTACTTTTTTATTTTATGTTACCATTTTTATAAATAAAATATATTTTTTTTGTTATTTTTTAGAAAAATTATTGGTTAGAGTTCTTTTAAAAATATTAAATATTTTAGAATATCTTTTAACAGATTCGAATACAATTTTTTAAACAACATGATGTAATATCATATTTTATTTTTCCACTTTATTTCGTGTTTGTTTAGCTTTTCGATTACTTTATCATGATACAATTTAACATATATTTCAATAAAATAAAGGGTAACCGAAAATAGAAAATCACACACATAGTCACATAATATACATACACAAATCTATATAGGGTTGGGTTTATGTGAGACTCGTTATATTATATTTTTACACTTGAAACTTCAAATCAGAACATTGTGAAGGTAAAAAAAATATGAATATTCACATCAAAAACACTGTGAAAGTTACTTTCACAGTGTTTTACTATGAAATTTCAAGTGTAAAAAGATAGTCTCACATGTCTTGTAGGTCACACGAAAACAGACTGGTCTCACATGATCCTAAGTAAACCTATATATATATAATATTCATAAAAATAAGTATGACAAACACGAAAGTTGGAGTTGTGGTCTATGTCATATCCATATCCAAACTGAATGTAACTTATACATTTTGTCTTGTTTTTGCTTTTCACGCATTACTTTTACTTTATACATAATTAAAACAAACAAAATATATGTCATGGTCGTTGCTGAACTTGCTTTTTGAATATTGAATTATGTGGTTCCTCATCGACTTCGTCGTTTATAACACTGTGACACTTTTTGTAAAGTATAACATTTTACGACGTACCAACTGGTTAAATCATTTATTAACATGCTAAAAAATAGAATGTAAGGATATATGCCCCATATATCTATATCTATACTATATTATAAAACGTTTGACAAAAACTCTTAAAAACCATTTTTTATGCATGAAGTACTCGCGCAATGCAGCGAGATACATCTTGATTTTAATATTTCATTTTATTATTTATCTCAGTCGATGTTATAATATGGTTTTATATGATTTTGAAAAAAACGATGATGTTTTTATTTTTGAATAAAATATAAATTTGAAGATATTATAAAATTTTGACAAAAACATATCGATATTAGTATCAAATTAACTATTTAAAATTCATATTTTTTGTGAAAATTTGTAATTCAAATTTTTTTTATTTTAATTTAATTGAGGTTTAATAACGAAGTAATTTATATTTGGTTTAATAATATAATTTTCTTATAAAGATAATAATTAATTATTTTATTAGAATTCGATAATTATCTTAATTATATTTTAGATTTTTTGTATTTTAAAATGAGATGTTTATCTTCTATTTGATTATGTTTATCCAAAGTTAGTCACACGAATTCAAACATAGAGCTTTAATAAGTTGTATTTATATATAATATACTTGTAATCTTGAATTTTAAGTAATATGCATTAGTATACAGTACTTCATGCATAAAAAATTGTTTTTAAGAGTTTTTGTCAAATGCTTTATAATATAGTATAAAATATTATAAAACATTTGACAAAAACTCTTAAAAACCACTTTTTATGCATGAAGTACTGTTTATTGATGCATATTACTTAAAATTCAAGATTACAAGTAATTTTGTATAAGTACAACTTACTAAAGCTCTATTTTTAAATTCATGTACCTAACTGCAGATAAACATAATCAAATACAAGATAAACATTCATTTTAAATAYAGAAAATCTAAAATATAATTAAGATAATCATTGAGTCTAACAGAATGTTTAACTATTTTATTTATAAAAAAATATATTATTAAACAAAAATAAATTACTTTGTTATTAAATTATAATAAAAAATTGAATTAAAGAAGTTATATAAAAAAAACAAAAAATTATTAAATAGTTAATTTGATACTAATATCGATCTATTTTCTTTTCAAATTTTTATACCATCTTCAAATTCATATTTCATTTAAAAACAAAAACATTACTGTTTTCTCAAAACAACATAAAATCGTATTATACGATAGAGACAAAAAATAAAAACTAAAAATTAAAATCGAGATTTATCTCGCTGAATTGTGCGAGTACCATTCTAGTACATATTCATAAACACACAGGACGTTTCAAATGCAACTTATAACATTTGTACAACCAGTACAACCCAATCAATTAAGACATTTATGAAAATAATGAGAATTCATATATATGCATAAATATACATAGTCTTGATATGTGTTGACAAATATGTTTATATTTCTTTATGATATCAAAAAAGTCCAACAAGGTAATAATAGTTAAATAAAAGTATAAGAAAACGATTGAATCATATATATATATATATATATATATATATATGTGATTTTTATAAAATCTCATGCAATTCATGTGATTTTGACCATTTTTATGTTTTTTTTTCTCACTTATGAGATAAGGCTCTCCATTTTTGTTATATCGTTTACAAAGTGAGATTATTGGTTTTTGTATTTTTAATTGGTAAAGTTAGTGATGATCTGCTTGTTACCGATTGAACCATGAACACCTGTGGTGGGCCAGCTGCCAATATCTTGTGGTCTTAAAATTTACCTTTTCAAAAGCATGATTTTGTTATGCATGTTTTCAATACAATACCACCCGGAAACCACCGCGCTCGGCCATGTCGTCGAAACAAAGACGATGATAAATCAAAACTACAATCGGATGAACTGATGCTAGAATGTTCGATTTTCAGAGCCGATAATGATTGGTACGCGTTCGAATTCAGGATTCATGCGCCATTTTTAAATTTATATAAATTCACAAATGGATGGTTAAAAGCTTTAAAACCATAACGGACCTTTAGATAATTTATCTAGACCTGTTTCGTTTTGCGGTGTCTCTGTTGATTCATGGAATCATCAACGAGTTCGAAGAACTTAAGTCGGTGATCGCTTCATATTGATTTTATTTACTGTAGAGAATCAATAAATGTCACAGATTCACAGTTTGGGTGCTAATTCTGCTGGAGGTATCTCGTATTATATGCTTCTTGCAGAGTTGATTTGTGCAATGTAGTGGTTTATTGTGATACCAGATAAAGATGAATCTAAACCCTAAAATTTTATTTTCTGTAATGTACTCTGTGTTCCTGTTAGTCTGTCGAGTTCAATACACCTCACGGTTGCACAATCTGATTCCACTTGGAAAAACAATTTGGTTCCAACATATGAGCCATTTAGCGGGAAAAAAACGCGTAATCGCGCATTGTCAAGTTTATCACCTTAGATGAACATATGGCCTTGATTTTGATCTTGTCCATTTCTATTCTGATCTTGTTTGATAGATTTCAGAATATGGAGCGATTGCTTATAACTGAACTTCTTTATAACTTGTACTTTCCGTTAGGTTGTACTTCCGATCGAAGAATATTCTGTACTAAGTAGTTAGGATTGGGTACTGCAGTTGTACTACAATTGTTCATGTAGTCCTCAAATTGTCTTCCTTGAGATTAATTCAATGGAATTAAAGCTCACCCATTTTACACATAATTTTCTACCTTCCCTTTTTTGTTTGTTGAAAAACAACCAATTATGTCTCTCATAGGATGAACTGTTTTATGGTTTTTACTTTATATCTGTTCATCTTTTTATTGCTTAACACGTGAAACATTTTTCTTATTTTGAAGCAAGTGGATCTGCGTGCAGGCTTCTGCAGGACTGATTCGTCGTCAGCAGTTTAGGTGGATGAGCAATTAAAAGCGGTTTCAAGTTTTGGTTGTTCACTTGTTTGCTATATTAAGTTACACTTTGAATCTCTACTTCTGCATGTATGCCTAATCTATAATTTGGCTGGGCAAAGCCTGGAATTCTCTTGGTGTCACTCACATCTCTTTACCTTGCTTTCCTCCCATTTACTACAATGGTTGTCTCTGCTGTTTATTGGAGCTTGGATCCTACTCATAATTGGTTCATGTGTATCTGCCCTGGCTAACCTCAACAGAAAGTATTTTTTGAGATTTGAACGTAAGGTAAAGGCACTTTCCCTAATCCGTCCATCATACCTTGTTTTGATGCTGCTCCAGTGATCACTTTTCTTCTGAGTTCTTTCATTACATAAAGTCATCTAACCACAGCTTCTAGGGTTCTTATTGCCTTATTGGTTGTGGTGATCCCCATGTTCTGTTCTTGACTTGTTCTAATCAAGCTCTGTTTAATCTCCAAGAAGCAGAAGTTGAATCGGTTTGCAAGCATAATGTAGAACTTGTGAAGCATTGGAGGATATGTCCTAAATTGTTTACTGTTGGCGGAAGCCAACGTCCTGAGGTCCTACGGACTCGTTCTGGCTGAAACAAGGGGAAGTCATAAGGCGCATACTCGATTCTTTCAGGTTTTTAGTCATTCCTTTGTTTAGATTCTTAAAAGTAAATCAGATATTTACAAATTGATAATGTGTGAATATTTATGCCACCAGAATTGACGTGTTTTCTTTTATTCTAATAATAACAGCATGGAAAACTCCAAATGCTTGAGTGATTTGGCAGAATTGTTGATTTGAGAATAACACTATCCTGTAGAACAACTGAAAAACCGTGTAAAACCTTGAACAAAAAGAAATTGGTGAAAACTGGAACTGCCTTGAATTAGTGAGTATGTAGTTAGGTTACTAGAGTCCTAACTCGCTTTTCTTGTCTTGTGTTTCTTTTTTGTGTTTTTCTGGTGCAAACTCTATTTTATCACACTTTTCATAAGCCAGGAGTCTTTACCAAACCAACCGCTTTACTCTTTGGGGTGGAGGTCGGGTCTACATACATCTCACCCAGCCTAGACCCCACATGCGGGTGGGATATATTGGCTTGTTTGGTTTGGTCTTGGGTTGGAATTGCGTAGAATTTTAAAATAATGGTAATAAGATAAATGGGTGAAATTTTGGAACGATCATAATACCAAAATAATTCTCATTGCTTTAGAAACAAGGTAGCTATGTAAATATGTCTGTTCTTTGATTCTAAAGTACAATATGTTTCATATCTTCCAAGCTTTCGGCTTCTTCCGTTGGTGAGCTGGGTATCAATGTTGCAAAGAGAAGGAAAACAAAATGAAATAACGAAATACGAGAGGACCAAATCCCCAATGTGGGGTAAAACATCATTAAACTCAACATAATTTTAGACAGCAAGATTGCTACGTATCATGATTTTTATTTTGTTGTCGAATGTTGTTAACAGACGGGCAAGTCTGCTGGTGGCGTCTGCAACGTCTCCAATATTCCAACTCCATTGTCTACTAAGAACACCGTGGCCAAACCCCAACCGATGTGAACATCCAAGTGACAGTGCATAATCCAGGCACCTGAGGAAAGCAAAATTGAAAAATGAGGGACATGTTTCTAGGAAATGTAAGCTTTTTGCTGAACTTGATTATAATAGTGCCTCCCATTCTTTATGTAACGCCCATAGCCTAAAGCAGCTGGCTGACTCAATAACCTCCAAATCAACTTAAAACCATGGTGGAAGTTATTGGTAGCCCTCCACTTTTAGCTAAAGTGCTCACAAATCTAATTTTCTATCCATACCGGAAGGGTTGCCATATTTTACCTGGATTATCAGCAACAAATCTAATGACTGCCCATCCGTTGACAGGTAGACTGACAGTATTTCTCAGAGGTGGATCCACGAGGTTGAACTTAGAGGTGTCCTTTGCTGGGTTGAAGTTTCCAAATCCCTCTGCAACTATGTAGAAATCATATCCATGAAGATGGATTGGATGGTTCTCGGCTGTGAAGATACTTGTACCTTGCAACACTATCTGGACCTTTGCTCCATATTTTAACTTGTAGACCTTGGTGCCACGTGTAGGTTGCCACAGAGACCGGCTTACGTTACCGGTGTAATCAAAGGTCACCGGAGGCTTCGCGGGGAAGTCGGTGGTGAAAACTCCGGGGACGCCATGGTGATGTGCTTGCAGCAGAGAGAAGTTGGATGGGAGTACAAAAGATACGTTGTTCATGCTTGCAGTGAACCGAGTCCTGTTTGGAGCCTGACATGTACTGGCACTGGCGGTTGGTGGGCATGGATTTATTCCAAGTCCGGCTGTGATGAAGAGACTCTCATCGATCTTAGTTGGAACCAGAGTTTTACCTGGACTCCTGAAGCTGGTGCTGAAGGCAGTGGCAGTGGCTGTGTCGTTAAATGCTGGGAGAGAAGGCATAATGGGCTTAGAAGAAACTCCCTTTGCTGGACAAGGGGCGGTTTTATACTCCAAAATGGCTGTGGTTGTAGTGTTGTCGAATGGGGCTCCTTGTGCACTGGCATAAGCACGTGCAGCAATGTAGTATCTAGCCGGTGGCTGGTCGGCCTTGATGAGTACATCGGTGGTTTGGCCTGGTCCAAGCATGAGGACCGATGTGGTGAAGGGTTTGACGTAGGAAGCATCAGCTCCCACAACAGTGAGTTTGTGGTTAGCAATACTGAAAAAAAGCTGTTGATTCAGACCAGCATTGATCACCCTAATGAGGTTTGTCTCACCTGAATCCACTGGAACTATGACGGTATCTACATATAAAACAGCCGAGAATTAGTAAAATATTTTAAAAAGTTCATCCAAATCTCAGTCATGTGTCCGTTAACAACTATCAAGATTCACCAAAATCTCGCTTTTTCCATGCTTGTGGTTTTAAATTACGAAAAACTTAACTTGAACTGATACGCAATGAGTTTGTGTGACAGTTCTATGGAAGCAAACCTTTGCTGGAGCAGTTATAGAGGTCACCAGGTTGACCATTGATGGTATATGCATCAGAAATATTTGGAGCTCCTCCGGTTCTCATGGCTTCCCTTATAACATCCAACGGGTTAGCATTCCACCATTCACCTGTGCATCATCATTTTATTCTGTCATCTATCTCAATTATGTGAAATCTACATATATTTATATCTTGTTGGATGGATAGCATACCAAGAACAACGACTGAATCACGCTTTGGCTTGGCAAATGGATAGGAATCTCCTTCTTTAGGGCGAATGACAATGGCACCATAAACAGTGGCTCTGACCCACGAGCTATGTGCATGCCACCATAGCGTTCCCTCTTGTCCTGAAATCCTGAACTTGTAGGTGTAACTCCCTCCTGGCCTAATCGGACATTGAGTTATGAACTCCGGTCCATCTGCCCATGCTGTCGTCATTTGTCTAACACCATGCCTGAAGATTTAGAAAAACGAATTAAAAACACCCTCATTTTTAACAAAGAACATCTATTTATTCATAATGCATGGGGTTATACCAGTGAATGGTAACGTTATCTTTAGCTCTGTTGACGACATTTACCACTAGACTATCACCATTGTTCACTTCCAAGGTCGGGCCTGGAAATTGCCCATTCACCGTCATAACTTTCTGAGTTTTGCATAGCCTTGTCACTTTTGTTTCTTGAACCTAATCCCATGCCAAATAGTTAGTATCAACCATAAATATTATCAAGTGATTAAATAAAAATATATAGCGAAGTCGAGGAAAGAACGTACGACAAAGTCATAGTAGTGAGCTGTTGCATTTGCCAAAGTGAACAAACTTGAAACCAAAAGCAACAAGCCCAAGAGGGACAAAGCACGTAAACCGTTGCTAGTAATGCGGGTTGAGGCGGGACCAGTTGTCATCCTTTTTGGCTCTAATGTGTGAATGCTATACTCAATCAAAGGAGGTAGAATAGATGAATTGTGGAATTGGGAAAGAGAACGAGTTTCTTATATAGAGAAGAAAAAGATAGTGAGAGTTGTTTGAAGTTGGCAAAGTAGGTTTGGATTTTGGGTGATGGTCCGTCCACAAAGGCAATATTATTCAACCCGAGTTGGTGCACCCACTGACCTATCAAAACGTTATAAATTTTCCTCATTGCTTGCTTCAGAAGTCTACTTTCTTTCCCTTTTAGTGTCTTTTTCAATAAATTAAAGACACCTGCTTTCTTTAATAGAATATTCTCACCAAATTGACTAAATGTGTTTGTTTAGCTCGTGGTTCGTTGCAAACATCGTGACTAGAAGGTCATAAAAAAACTAATATCTTTGTTAAATGTAAGATTTACAGTGTTTATAAAGACCTCTATTACAAAAAATAATTAAAACACGTAGTTTTTATCTGATATTCCGTCTTATTAGACACGATATATGTTGTGGATTTGCTATAGGAGTCCTATTAGTAATAATTTGTAAGTTGAAAGTCCCCCCAGAAGTTGGTTTATTAGCAACCAAGATTTTAGTTTGATTTAAACTAATCCCATTGCCTCCTAGTTCCTGATGAAATGTACAACTACTTATGCACATGGTACCAAACATAAATGTGGTTAAATATGCTGGTGGCGATATGGACTTATTGTTGAACCGTTTTGGTCTTTTTATTTTTGTATGGTTTTTCAAATTCATGAAATAAAATTTTGTGGATTTGCTTCTAAAATGATATACTACACAGACAGGGGTCCATGTTTGACAAAGGTAGTGTGGGAGACTGGGAGTTATAGTTGGATTCGGTTCCTGGTGGGTTCTGGTCTTTTAAGCCAACTAACTAGTGGGTTATTATATTTTTGATTTGGCTCTTGCATTATGCTTAGGACGGGGCGGTATGGAATGCAGGGGCGGACCTATTATATTGGATACCGTGGAACGGGCCACCTCTTCGTTCCTCCGTCTTAGTGCAAAAAGTTATAGGGTCGTAAAAGGTTCCATCATATTATTTTGTTTTGTGTATCATTTTTTGTTTTCTGCAACCGTATATGGTGGTGAAATAAGTTTTCTATGGTAGAGTTGGTTTGCAAGATTTTTCTCTCATAATAGACCTAGGTTCAAATCTTGTTTGTGTCATTTTTTTAGTTTTTAGTTTTTAATTTCAGATTTATTATATGTTTGGAAGAAAAAAAAATTCAATAAAAGACTTGAACACAAAAACTCATACATCCAAAGTACGTCTTTGATGAGATGAGGTGTCCTGAGATACACAGAGAGTTGCATTTACAAACCTTTTTCTGTACAAAAATTGTGTGGACTTAAAAGATGTATTACTTTGGTTTAAAATTTAAAAAATAGGATCCTTTTTCAAGAAGATGGTAAGAGCAACAAGTATCAATCTTGTGGAGTTATCTCCATTGTTGATAAGATTTGAGTAGGGGTGACTTCGTAAAACCACTGTGGATTTTCTTGGTTGTACTTCAAGGATCCTTGGATGAACCGAGGCGTGCGTAAATTAGTCTGGACACACTCGGTTAAAAAAAAGGAGCAACAAGTACATGCCGATCGTTGATTATATGTTTTCATTTTTTTTTTTGAAATTAGTGTTGCATTTGTCGGATAACATTTTTGTTTTATGCTTATGTATTTGCATTTTAGAAAATATAAAATGGGCATAAGACGATATTTTGGAAAATCAAAATTAGTTAAAGAAACGGGAAACATAATCATCACGAATTGTGAATATGATTTTTGATGTTTCATTGCTTGCATAACTTGTATACAAAGAAACACACATTAACTATTTAACTACTAAAAGTCTAATGTGTATCTTTGTCATCAATAATTGTTGTGGTTTTTGGCAAGCTAGACAAAAGAAAAGAGGGATAAAAACAAGAGGAAAAAAACATATTAATAACCGCTAATAAATTAAGTATTAGAGGCATTAATTTACTGTTCACTTGAATTTATATAATTTCCTACATACATGAATAAATCAAATGATCTTTGACCTAGTAGTATCGTAGTCTTTGGCATCTTAGGAGGTCAGAGATTTAAACTTCATCACAGGTGAGGAAAGTGTGTGAGTTTATTTGTTGTATTTGTTATATATAAATATTATATATTTTATAAAAAAACGTACATAAATGAATAGTGTTTTTGGAAAAACTTCTTAGTGGAGGAAGACTTTGATTATAAATGGATTGTTTCCGATTTCATTGTGTATGATCTAAGTAAAAACGCGTTTTGACTTTTGAAGTGAAAATGAAATCAGTGATGTCATATAGATTGGTCTAACAGCTTAAATATTTTTTTTAAAAAAATAGAAAATAGAAAATTAAAATCTTTAAAAAATATTGGGATGTTAATTTTGTAGCAAAATAAATCAACAAATTTAATTGACCGGTAGTGTCGAACCAATTACTTAAAGTTGGTTGGTACTTGGTATTAGAAGTTGTGTACCACAGTAAATTTGTTTACCTCTTAATAGTTTCATAAAGAGACATTATTTAAATCGTTAAAAAGTGAATCTTGTTTAGCAAAAAAAAAATATGTTTTTTAATGGTTCTAAAATTCTCTGTATAATTTTGTATCATGTGTCTTCCTTAACCATTAAGCGTCTTAATTTCATTGTAAACAATTATCAAACAATTATATTTCATTTTGCACTATATCATGAGATTCTTTTAATCATTCTGACCACTTAATCATTATACATCAAATCATTTAGTAACTGCCAAACATGCCCTATAGTCTTACGGTACCGATTTATATTTTCATTATTTATTAATTATAGTTTTGTTGATAGTACACCATATTTTGATTTTTAGATATTAAATATCTTTTTTTTTCATTTTGCTAAATTATAATATGAATGTATATATACAAAACTCGATTGAATTCATTCGTCTAACCTTAATAACTGGTGCACATCTCCACGGTCCATCGTCATTCCTCGGTGGCCGCTTGTATTAAAGTAACGGTAAATGTTTGTATTATATGAAAGTTATTTGAATACTTGTATAGGTAGTGTTAAGTGGTACAATATTTATCTACATGTTATTTAAATGCTCAATGGTTTTAACGTAACTTCAACTTTAACGATGTTGGTATAAAAACGTACCAGCATGCACCAACATAAAAAAAGTTGGTACCAATTTAGTTCACACCAAATACAATTAGTCGGTTCATGGTATAAAATTTTACTTAACAATTATAACTGATTGGTACATGGTTTAGAGGGGAACCCATGGTATTACACTTAGCTCCAACAAATTTCATTAGTTTAGATAATTTCAAAATCAATTATATTATTAAAATGTTTTATAATTATATCATCCCACTATATATTTAAAAAAAACTTAATATAAAATGACTAATAAATAAATCTCATTATTGGAAAATATTAAAAATAACATCTCTCTCTATTCGCCGGAGAGTTTTAGAGAATTTTGTATGTTTAGAATTTTCTCTAAGTTTTTCTCTATTTTAAATAACAAGATACAACTCATGTTAGAATAACACAGGGAGCAAAACTCTATTTTCTCTATTGTACAATTATTGTTGAAGATTAAATGGTCAGAATAATTAAGAGACCCTATTGATATAGTGTAAAATGAAATATAATTGTTCGGTAATTGTTTACAATAGAATTAGAGTGTTGAATGGTTAAGGGAGATCTATGATACAAAATCATTCAAAGGATTTTAAAATCATTAAAAGATAGATTTTTTTTTTCAAACAAAAACTTATCTTTTAACAATTCAAAAGTTATCTTTAATAAAATTATTAAGAGATAAACAAAGAATCAATATCTCAATCGATGAAGTTTAACAAATTCCGGTCAATATTAAATTTTCGGCCAAATGACTTTTATGGTTGTGGTATTAATTTTAGTCTAGTCATCATAACTACTTCATGGGTTGATGTCAACGCAGCAATTCTAGAAACTAAAGACTAAAATTCTAACTATTTTACAGCAATAAAATATTACTTTTTTTTAAATAATGTGTGGTTTACACAAGTATACAAGTATTAAATAAATTTTAAAGTGTTTTTAATAACTTGAAGATTAAGTTACGAATATTAAGTAATTATTATCTTTTGATGGACATAAAATATGGATAAGAAAAACTTCTATAAAATTGTATAGAATCACTTTACAATATTCATACAAACGATTGTGGTTCAAATGCGGTGATTTCGGACTACTCGTAAAGCAGGTGGCCTTGGGATTAGTTGGCTGACATAGCGGGTTAGATATTTAGGTTAATTAAAAAAAGTTTTTATTTTATTTTTTGTGAATGATCAAACATCTACATTCTTTTAGAATTAAAGAAGCACAAAAATATCATAGGAAAACGCCTTTTTTTTTTTAAGTATATAAATATATTTTATATACACAAATGCAACAAATAAACTTATACATCCTTTTCATCATTGATGAGATTTAAACCCATGACATTTTAGGAGGCAAAAGACTCAGATATCGCTAAGCTAAAGGCCCATTGGTAGAAAATATATTTTTAATGAAAATTTATTTTTAAAACTAAATTCGATAACCATTTTACTTAAAAATATATTAAATGTAATTGAAATTGAATTCAAATAAATTAGAATAAGAAAATGAGTATTTTATTTTATTTTAATTTTATATTATTATTGTTATAGTTTTGATTTATTTTTAACCGGATTTTT